TGGCCCGTACTCACGGCTTTATTGAACTGTATATTACAGATATCGATGAATGTTTAGCCCGTACTCACGGCTTTATTGAACTGTATGTTACAGATATCGATGAATGTTTAGCCCGTACTCACGGCTTTATTGAACTGTATATTACAGATATCGATGAATGTTTGGCCCGTACCCATGGTTGTAGCTGGGAGTTTGGTTGTATTAACACAGAGGGGTCGTACAGGTGTAACTGTCCCCTGGGGTACCAGCTGAACGCTGACGGATACACCTGCAGAGGTAGGAATATATATAATGTATATAATATATAATACTAAAAAATTACTATGTGCATTCTATTCATTATTTCAGTTTTTATAATGAATAATGTGTAATAATCAAATATTTTATTTGTGCATTCCATTCATTATTTCTTCATTTGTTTTTATCTTTTGACAAATAGTTATATGTTTATTATTATTATTATTATTATTATTATTATTATTATTATTATTATTATTATTATTCAGACATTGATGAATGTGCCAGCAGGACAGCAGAGTGTGAGCAGGAATGTAATAACGTAGAGGGGTCCTATATTTGTTCCTGTTTTCTGGGTTACAAACTAGACGCTGATGGCAGGGCGTGTAACGGTACGGCATGTGTTAACTTTGACATTGATAGTTTATATAAACTTACAACCAAGACATCGAAGCTCTGCAGCCATAGTGTGAAAACAAAGAATAAGGAAATATTTATATTATTATAGTCAATTGTAACTAACGTACATACTAAGTAAAGTTACCTGCCCGTAGCCACGTACGGTTTCAAAAAGGGGGGTTCCTTTTTCTGAAAAAGTGAACCTTCCACAATGAAACCTTCGTGTAACTAGATCAATTTTCACCCAGAGGGGACCATTTCACGGCAAAAAAGGGCGGTTCTTTTGAGCCTCTCCCACCCCGCTACTGGTCTGACTCTGAGTTATATGCATAATAAAAACAATTGGCTTTGAAAGTATGTATTACACCGATAATCTTAAAGGCAATTTTTTGAAAGGCAGTATGAAATAAATGACTTATATTGTTCAAAAATTCAAATAAACACCTCATAACAATTAGGATCTGTCACATGTTAATATTTTCTAGATATTGACGAATGTGCGTTAGGCAAGGATAACTGTGCCCACGACTGCTTTAACCACGCTGGATCCTACTCCTGCGGATGTCACATGGGCTTCCAGCTAATGGAGGACGGGTTTTCATGCCAGGGTGAGACATCAATAGAAACAGTTAGGAGCTTTCGTGTGTCTATTTCTGCTTTTCAATTCATATTAAGAAGAAGTCTCAGTTATATTTTTTAAATGGTATTTTATCTGTGCCTGACGCCATTATGTAAGAGCTTGTTGTGACAGCGTTATTTCTTTCCATGGGGACAATTATTTAGGCATAATACAGTTTCACATGTGACTATTATCGGGTGTCGGCATCACTTGTATTGAGACTATTGCGACGAAAAAAAAAGATTACTGTTAAATTATTTATTCAGTGTTTTTTTTAATTCAGTTAAACTGAATATTTTATTATCTTCACTTACTGATACAGGTGTTTCATTATTGTTTATTTGTTGATTTTATATGATTATTATTTTAATAAGATGTGAACGAATGTGCCCGCGGGTCACACGACTGTCAGCAGCTATGTGAGAATACCGTGGGGTCTTTCCAGTGCAGCTGCTCTTCTGGATTTCAACTCGCGGCAGACAAAAAAAATTGCACAGGTATCTCCTCCTCTCCCAGCCTTCCTCTCCCCCCTCCCCCACACAAGCGCGCGCTTGGAATACAAATTAAGTAAACTGTTTAAATTTAGTTTTACATTTGTAAAAGATTTGTGTATGTAAAAGTGTAAAAGTGCTCCAAACCCAATCAATTTTTTATCTTATTTTTTTATTCTGAATTCTTATGTAGCGAAAATTTCCAAACCCCGCTCTACGTTTCGTATCCAAGCGTTATAACCTTCATGGTTATGTAATCCTAGTTTTTTTTTTCTTCTCAAGATATCAACGAGTGTACCAAGGGCACTCACAACTGTTCCCAGGTATGTAACAACCAGCCGGGAGGGTATTTCTGTAGTTGTTACACCGGCTACCAGCTCCAGGCAGACGGACTGGCTTGTTTCGGTGAGTTCTCCAGCTTTCACGCGTGATCATGAGAGCTGTTGTTGTTGTTTTTGTTGTTGTTCTTATTATTATTATCTTTCTTCTTCTTATGATTATTATTATTATTATGTGCTTAAAAGTCTATCAGAATATTTTGTGCTGATGTCAGCAAAGAAGGGTCTGGGTTACTGACTGAAATATGAATGCTTTCATTAGCAAATTACATGGTACACAATATTTTATGTATGTGTCAGTTTAGACTATGCTTTTCAATACTTCCATTCCTGTTGAAAATATATTAGTAGTTACGGTTTTATAATTTTGGTTCTTGTTTGTTTGCAACGTTGAGGTGGCAGCACAGGCGCCAGTTTTGCACATTATTGTATAAACATTTGAAACTTTTTCCGCAGATTTTAATGAGTGTACTACGGGGACTCACCAGTGTTCTCAGGACTGTACAAACACCCCGGGGTCCTACATCTGTAGCTGTAAGCCGGGTTTTCTACTGCAGCCAGATAAACTGACCTGTAGAGGTAAAATATTGAGATTTGATTAGAGGTAAAATGTTGGAATTTGACGAGGTGAAACATCGGAATTTGAAGTGGGAAAGTACTGTAATTTGTAGAGCAATTATAATTTTTCTCTGTATTTTTGCATACACGATTATGAGAAAAACGTAGCATTAGTTGTTCTCTTCTTCAGATATTAACGAGTGTGAGACGCTGAACGGCGGCTGTTCGACCTACTGTACTAATATAGCTGGCTCCTTTTACTGCTCGTGTGGAGTGGGGTACCGCTTAGACTACGACGAGAGGACGTGCGTTAAAGACGGTAATAATAATAATATCAACAGTGATGATATTAATAATAATAAGTAGTTTAACTCCCTTTGGTTTCAAGAAATTTGACTTAGGCTTACTTTTCAGAAGGTAAACACCATCGTGACGTCACTTTTGACATTACGTTGACGTCACAACATATCACGTGCCTCTTGGGATATTTAACCCCCCACCATTTAAAAAAAAAAAAACCTCCACCCCATTTATCAATTTCCCAATTCCAGAGGCTGCTAAATGCTATCACCCGTACGGTATCTTCCCCCACCACAGCGACTGCAGGAAGTTTATCGTGTGTGTGATGGGAGAAGTCATCTCTGTACAACCGTGTCCAGACGACCAGGCCTGGGACCTAGAGGCTGGACACTGCATCAACGAGACCCTGGCCAACTGTTCCAGGATTGTGCCGCCCACCAGTGAGTTTTTTTTACGTTTTAGTTCGTGCATTTATAATAATAATAATAATAATTACCAGTATGTGTCAGTGATCACAGAGGAGTCATAACACTCTGATTTGAAAGTTTATCTAGGATTGTTTAAAGATAGAATAACTGCCCAAATTTAACAATATTTGCACGCTTGATGATTTTCATTCGACACCTTAGAGGGCATTCTCAACGAATTAAGCCAG